AGGTTACCTTAGGAAAGCTCCTTTCATGTGTTCCGAGCGGGGCCGTACAATTCAAGAGCTCTACCAGGCTGCCGGAGGTAACCTGATTGACAGTTTACCGCCGGCTCCCAGTTCGGGCGCGGCCGTCGTCTGTACTAGCCGTGTTCGTGGCGGCCGTGTGCTCGTGGTCCTGCTCACCGTGGTTGCCTTGGGCGTTGTAGTTTGTGGCTGGTGGTCGTAGCTGTTCTGGTCGTGGCTGCGTTGATCGTGTCTGGTTTGGCCGTGGCCGCTGCCCGTGGCGTGATCGTGGCTGTATTCGTGTTTCTGGCCGTGGCCCTAGCTGTGGCCATAGACGTGGCCGTGGCCGTGGTTGTGACCGAGGCCGTGGCCGTGGCCCTGGTCGTGGCCGTGTCCGTGGCCGGCCGCGGCGCGTCGTGGCCCTAGCTGTAGCCGTGGCCTTGGCCGTGGCTGTGGCCATGGCCGGGCCGTGACAATGGCCGTGGTCGTGGCCGAAGTCGTGGTTGTGGCCGTGGTCGTGGCCCTGATCGTGGCCGTGGCTGTGGCCATGGGCGTGGCCGTGGCTGTGGCTGCGGCGTGCCGTGGCCGTGGCCGTGGCCGTGACCATGGCCGTGGTCCTGGCCGTGACCGTGGCCGTTTTTTTGCTGTGGTATTGTCCGTGGTCATGGTGGCCATGGTCGTGGTGGCCGTTGCCGTGGTGGCCGTAGCTGTGGTGGCCGTGGCTGTGGTGGCCGTGGTGGCCGTTGCCGTGGTGGCCAGCCGTGGTGGCCGCGGGACACCTCCTGTAATTGAAGCCACGTGCGGGTTGTGCCCAGGGGCCCCCAGAACCGAAGTCCGGTTTGTCTCTGGGGACCTGTTCTAATTTGTTTCAACTGCGGGAAGTCCCAAGAGGCTCCCAGAACCGCAGTCCTGGCTGCCTTCGTGGACTTTGCGTAAAGCATCGTTGAATTGCGGCAGGTTCCCAGGGGCTCCCGCAACCGCAGTCTTGGTGGCCTTTGGGGACCTCCCGTAATTGGTCTGAATTGCGGGAAGTCCCAAGAGGCTCCCAGAACGGCAGTCCTGGCGGCCTCTGGGGACTTCCCGTAATTGGCTTCAATTGCGCCAGGTGCCCAGGAACTTCCAGAACCGCAGATTTGCCGGCCTCTGGGGACTTGTGAATGAGCGTTGCATTGCCGGAGGTCCCCAGAGGCTCCCAGAACCGCAGTCATGGCGGCCTCTGGGGACATCCCGTAATTTGCTTCAATTCCAAGAGGTCCCCAGAGTCTCCCACCAGAACCGCAGGCCTGGAGGCCTCTGGGGACCTCCTGCAAATTCGCGTGGACTGGCCGGAGGTCCCCACAGGCTGCTCGCAGCTCGCACCTCCCTCGATTTTGGTCAATTGCAGGAGGTGCTATCTGGTGGGATAACAGGGTCGGTCTTGTCCGTTCCTTCCTTCCATCCATCCTCTCTTCCCTTGCTTTAGGGGCTGCGCGAAATAGACGTTGCAGGTGAAGAAGATTTGCGCCTCCGAGGGGGGTGCTGTTGTAAACGAAGAGGGCTCGCGAGCAGATATGAGCGAACTGCCTTGACATGATTGTGGTTGTCGTTGCCGTTGTTGCTGTTGTTGTTGTTGTTGTTGTTGTTGTTGTTGTTGTTGTTGTTGTTGTTGTTGTTGTTGTTGTTGTTGTTGTTGTTCTTGTTGTTGTTGTTGTTGTTGTTGTTGTTGTCGTTGAATTTTCAGTTCTGCAGAACGTTTGTCTGTTGACCCCCCTGCGCGGTAACTATTATATTTGTTGCAATTGAAGTGTTTCTCGCATGTATATATGTATACACATCGAGGGAGGGCGAAGGGCCACCCGATTGCGTTGTTGGCATCGGGACTGCAGCAACAACGGCTCCCGCCTGATTTTTCCACGATGTATTCCAACATCGCACTCTCGCTCGGGATTTCCTCGCAACTTCTGCAGGAATCGCGCTCTCGCGTTGGGCGTCTTCGCCATGTGCTCAGTCGCCGCGCCCTCGACGCTATGGGCTCATGCTCTCGCTTCGGCATTCGCCGCGTTTTATTGCGGAATCGAGCTATCCCTCCAGACTCCCCCGCGGTTCATGCAGGGCTCGCGCCTCAGCAGCCCGCCCGCGCGACTTGGCCGCCTGGGACCGGCTTCCCGACCCGCCTGCTAGGGCCTACCCTTCCGGTCTGCCCGTCTGGTAATGCCGCGTGTTATCTGGTCCTAGCCCCCCTCCTGCTACTCCTTTCCGTGCTCCATCCTCTTCCCTCCCCCTTGTCCGTTCCTTCCATCCGCCCCCTTCTGCCCCTGCATTCGTGGCTGCGCGAGATACGCGTTGCAGGCAAGAAAGATATACCCCCCCAAGGGGGTGCGATCGAAGACGAAGAGGGCGGGTGTCGCGGGTTCGGAATATACGCGTTGGGTGGTGCGTTAGCAGAAAAAGGGGGAGGCGTCTGAAAATAATTGTTGTTGTTGTCGTCGTTGTTGTCGTTAAGGTTGTTGCTGTGGTTGGTGCTGCTGATGTTGTTGTTGTTATTGTCGTTGTTGTCGTGTTGTTGTCCAGTTGTTGTTGTAATTGTTGTTGTTGTTGTTGTTGTTGTTGTTGTTGTTGTTGTTGTTGTTGTTGTTGCTGTTGGTGTTGTTGTTGTTGAGTTCGTATATCTCCATGATAATCATTGTCGACCCCTTCCTGGTAGCCGTGGCATGTTTCAAAGGAAGTGCCCTCGGCCCCCTCCTTCCACCATCTTCGGGGCTCGCACCTGGTCCTTTTCCCAGGGCAAGCTTGGTGTCACCAAGCGCTGTTGCCCCGCCTGATATTTCCTCACAACGTACTTCAGGCATCTCGCTCTCGCGCGGGACTTCTTCGCAGTGTATCTATCGATCTCGTTGTTGTGGGGGACTTCCTCGCCATTTATTCAGACGCCGCGTTCTCGACGCTATGGAGTCATGCCCTCGCTTGGGATCTCTCGCAATTTACTTGGGAAATGCGCTATCGCTCGAGACTTCCTCGCGACGCATGCAGGGCGCGCGCTTCAGTAATCCCCCTGCTCGACATGGCCGCCTGGACCCGCCTTCCCGACCCGCCCGTTAGGGTCTGCCCGCCCGATGTGCCCGTCGGGTTCAGCCGCGTGTTTTCTGCTCGTAGCCCCCCTCCTGCCACTCCCTCTCGCGCTCCATCCTCCTCCCTGTTCCTTGCACTCTCCTTCCGTTCGCCCTTTCTTTCCCTGGCTTCGGGGCTGCGCGGAATAATCGTTGCAGATGGGGAGATGTGCCCCCGAGGGGCTGTGATCGAAGACGACGAGGGCGCGTATCGAGGGTTCTGGATATGCACGTTGAAAGGCGCTTTAGCAGATAGTATCACATACTCATGACAATATGTTTGTCGTCGTCGTTGTTATTGTTGTTGTTGCTTCGGTCGTTGCGTTTTTTTTTTTTTTTTTTTTTTTTTTTTTTTGTTTTTTTTTGTTTTTCTTTTCTTTTTCTTTTTTTGTTGTTGTTTTTTTTGGTTGTTTGTGTTGCTGTTGTTGTTGTTGTTGTTGTTGTTGTTGTTGTTGTTGTTGTTGTTGTTGTTGTTGTTGTTGTTGTTGTTGTTGTTGTTGTTGCTGTTGTTGTTGTTGTTGTTGTTGTTGTTGTTGTTGTTGTTGATGAACTCCCATTCTTGAGTAATTGTTATTGTGTTAATTCCTCCACAGGTGCACGTTGTGTTTATCAATCGAATTTCCCCCCTATCGGGGCCCGCACTTTCTGTGCGCCGGGGAATGTTTTTGTGCTCAAACCTCGATGCTGCTCCCCGAACCGCAATGACAACGGCGCCCGTTTTATATTCCCCAACGGTGTATTCAAAGATCGCGCTCTCGCGCGGGATTTCCTCACAAGTTATGCAGGAATCGCGGTCTCGCGTGGGACTTCATCGCCATTTATTCAGACGCCGCCCCCTCGACGCTCAGGAGTCTCGCTTTTGGCATCTCTCACGATTCACTTAGGTATCGAGCTATCGTTCGAGACTTCCTCGCGAATCATGCATGGCTCACGCTTCAGCGACCCGCCTGCTCGCCCTGTCCGCCTAGGCCCGCCTTCCGACCCGCCCGCTGGGGTCTGCCCGCCTGATCTGCCCGTCTGGTTCTGCCGCGTGTTTTTTAATCCCAGCCCCGCTCCTGCTAAGTTCTCTCGTGCTTCGTCCTTGTCCCTCCCCGTTCCATCCGTCCTTTCTTCTCCTGTTTTAGGGGCTCCGCTAAATGCGCGTGGTTGGCAAGGCAGATCTATCCCCACGGGGGTACGATCGAAGACTAAGAAGGTGGGTACCGAGGGTTGGGGATATACGTGTTGAGTGGCACGTGAGCAAGTAGGAGCGAACAGTCTTAAAACGGCTGTTGCTGTTGGTGAGTCTACTGATGTTGCTGATGCTGATGCTGCTGCTGATGATGATGGTGGTGGTGGTGGTGGTGATTCTGATTTGTGATGGGGAGGAGGAGGAGTAGTAAAAGGAGGAGGAGGAGGAAAATGAGGATGAGGAACATGAGGAGAAGAAACATGAAGCGAGTGCAACGCATCGTTGTAAGCGTTGTCAAGCTACCTTTGTGTAGGATGTTGGTGCGTGCGAAGCGCGCGCGGGGAAGGGGGAGGAAGTGAGGAGGAAAAACGTCACACATTGAGGACGGGAAACGAGACGAAACTCAATTTGCTGAAGTCGGCGCTGGGCCACGCGCAGCTGGTGCGTCTTGCGCGCCAAGGGACGGGGCCCTCCGCCGACCACAGAAAGCCGCCCTGACCTTTGAAAACTCGTGTGTCGTCAGCGCCAGCCCCCGTCTCGTCTCTTCACGAGTGCTCTCTCCGACTCCCCTCCCCGCCGCTCCCGAGCTCTCTCCTGCGTGCCCGGCCCTCGCGCCCTCACCTCTCCCCGAGGGCCTTCGCTCGGCACTCTGCCCCCTCGTGCCCATCGGAGGAGCGTGGCGCAGACACTCGCGTGGACCGCCGCCCAGTTCCTTGTCCGAGCGAGACGACGCGCCCGGAGCGGCAGGCCCAGCAGGCTCCCCTCGGCGGGGGCGGCCGCCGAGCGATGCGCCCCGCGGCGGGGCCTGCGGCGCGCGGCGCGCCGAGGCCATGACGTCGACGCCCAGGAGCCGGAGGGCGCCCGCCCGCAGGCACCCGCGCTCCGCGGCGGGCACCCGCACACCGCCACCGTGCCTGGCCGAGGCCGTCCTGTGCACCCCAGAAGATTCGGCCGGATGTCCTGCGAGTGGGCTCGAGGAAGAGCAACCGCATTCGCGGCGCAGCAAGTTCACAGAATAGCAAGGCACAGAATGCGACGGCAGGGAAAGCCAATATGCTTCGAATTGTGCTGGAGCCCGAAGGGGGCGCCACCGCCTTCCGCCGCCTCGGCGGTGCAGGGAACGAGCGGTGCAGGGAGCGGTGCAGGGAACGAGGGGCGCCTTCTTCCGCCGCCCTTGGGACGGTGCAGGGAAGGAACGGTGCACGTGCGTCCCCTGCTGGAGCCGCCGCGGCTTCCGCCGCACGCTCCCGGCCCGCCAGCTCTCGGAGGTTCCTGACGCGTCTCGCTCCGATGTTGTCTCCTTGCTCCCGCCGCCTCAGCGCACACCGATCCCGTGCCGCTCCTTGGCCAGAGTCAGTGCAGGTGTGTACCCAGACGTCCGACATGCGAAACCAGAAAGTACCCCATACCGCTACCTCCCAGACTTCTCCAAGGGTGTGTCCCGACTAGGATTTTTAGGCGAATCCAGCGGCGGCGACGGGGGTCTCCGAGGAGGCCCAAAAAGGGAAAAACGATTGCAGGGTGTTCCAGGTCACATTTGGGGAGGGGTCTGATTTGAGTTGTCTTGGAGGTTTCGGGGGGGTCTGGGCAAAAGGCCGCCCTTTCATGGACGGTCTGGGGGGGATCCAAATTTCTCCTTTGGGAGGGTTCAGACCCCCTCTCCTTCATTGCGAAATCTGGAGTCTCCCCATGGGCACCTTTTCCTGTCTTGAGTTCTTCGCTTCCCTCCCCAATCCTCGGGCCCCCCCAGAGATCCCGCCCCCGCCCCGGGAGGGCTGTCCTTCGCCCCGCCCCCAGTGCCTGCCGGAGCTGAGGGGGGGGGCCAGGGAGCGGGTCTCGCGAGGGGCAAATCACGCCGCGACGTCGGATCGCTGGCGCCCTCCGGCAGGAGGACCCCTCGCGGGACGCCCGGCTCTGCGCGGAGGACTCGGGCCGGAGGAAAGGTCGGGGGTTCGCAACCAGGGGGGGGGTTATCCCAAGGTCGGGTTAGGGGACGAACCCAGCTGGATGCTCACATCTTCTTCTTCCAGGAGCCGTTTAGAGCGACGGTCCTCCCAACCCCACCTCTGCCCCTGCTCCACCAGTGCGTCCCCCTGAACAAGGGGGCATCTATGGACACCGGGGGGGGGGTACGAAATCTGCGGCAGCTGGTTTCGGCCCCGCGGCCGGGCCCACTCCTCGCGATACACGGGCGCCTCCTGGCGTCGGGAGGCGCCAGGAAGAGCGCCCGCGCGTGAGCTGCCTCTCCGCCCTGGCCTCTGCTATCCTGCCCTGGAGGACCGGCTCCCCGCTCGGAGGACCCGGGAGGACCCGTCCCGCCCCCGGGAGGACCTGGGAGGTCCCCGCCCTTCCCCCTGGGAGGGCCCGCCCCCCCCCCCCGGGGAGGACCCTGGCCTTTGTGCTATCCTTCCAGAGGACCGCGCTCGGAGCGACGCCGCGCGGGACGCCCCGGGAGGACCTGCTCCCCCGCGCCGTGCCGACCTCCTCGCATGGCCGCCGAGCGCCCCGGGCGCCGAGGGGCCTCTGGAGTCTGGAGGCCCCTCGGGGCCGAGCGCTGGGGGTGCCCTCCCGCGGCGCCGAGAGGCCGACGGCGTCGACGGCGCCTGGGGCCGTCACCGCCCCAGAGTGATCCGACGCTCCGACGAGAGGGGGGCGGCGGGGTGTGGGCCGTTTTCGGCCTCCGCGGGCCCTCGCCGGGCCTCGGGACCGGGAGCAAAACTGCTCAGGACGAGAAGCCAGCCCTGGGGACCTGGCCCAGACGTCAGGGGCCCGCGCAGCGAAAGAACTGGAGCGGAGCGGCCAGATGCCTGGGACGGGGCGGCACAAATCAGGAGCGACAGGAGTACGCGCCGCGCGAGCGTTTGTATCACGCGGCCGGTCTCGCGGATTGCAGGGCCGTGTTCATGTACGTGGTTGGGCGCGTGCGTCGCTTGTGGGCCCCTTAAGAAACATGAGAGCTTTCGGAGGTCCGCGCGGGTGTGTTGGGTTGGCGCTCGAGCGCCAGGCGATCGAGGGGTTCAGGGCCGCCTCAAGAGGACCCCCCCTGGGCCTTTCAAATCTGGTATGCGTATGCACATTTTACGTGGTTTGTCACAGGTACGACCACCCCTAGGGCAATGAGAAAGTTTTGGTTGGGGGGATGAGTCCACCTTCTGGTTTGCGATCGGCGTCGGTATGAGTTCGCGATGTCTTTATCCATCGATGTCGCTTCGATGCCGCTATCTGTCTGTGTTGTATACACATCTAGATCTACTTATGAACGTGAATCTATCTACCTGTCAATAGGTGTCTCGAACCACATCTCTTTCTTTATCTATATCTCCCTACATTCGCATTTCGATCATTTCCGCTAGTGTATCTTGAGGTGTATGTGTACTATACGCCGCTTGGGGCCCGCTAGGCTTTCCGATCTGATGCACTCTGCTTGGGTGGTCCCTGTTTTGTTCATGATGCTCCACCACCACCACGTCTCTAGAGTTGGCAGTGCCTGTCTCGCTCTTCCTCTGCTTCGTTGCTCCCTGGCATATCGTCTTGTTTTCCAGGCAGGCTCGGCAGAGCAGAATCGAGCCCTGGACGCGCCGCATTTGTTGGGCAGTTCTCCCTTCATCTCCCCCTTCCTCCCCCTCCTCCCTCCCTCCTTTCCCTCCCCCTTTCCTTTCCCTCCTCTTTCTCCTTTCCCTCCTCCCCCTCCTCCCCCTCCCCCTCTTTCTCCTCTTGTTCCTTTCCCTCCCCTCCCTCCCCTTTCCCTCCCCTTTTCTCCCTCCATCCCGTGGCCCTGATACACGCCTGGGGTACGAAGCCTGAAAATAACGTCAAAGCAATCTGAGAGGCCTTCTAGGCAGTCCAAGAACCATCCAAAACGGCCCAACAGGACCCCAAGATGGCCCGAAGAGAGCCCCATGAGGGCTCAAGATTGTCCCAAGACGCCCCCGGAAGCATTCCAAATCGTGACCAGGTCTTTCAGGGAGATCGCAATTGGAAGCAGGGTGGCCCGAGGAAGCCCTCAAAGGCCCCCAGATGGCGCCCAGGAGGCCTCCAGATGGCCCCCCAAAGCCCTTAAAGACGTTTGAGGGGCCCCCAAGAAGCTCTCTCTAAGAAGGAGCCCCCGCAAAAAGAGCTGAGGAAGACGGGGAAGAATTCTGAAGGGAGGGCGCGAATGATTAAGAGGAAGAGGAAGCATGAGGGAAGGATAATGAATGGCATTAGTGTGACGGCGACGTCGGACAAGGCAACTTCCGCCGCGATTTCATCCTGCATGCCAATCTTCAATGACCAAGGTACATGGCGCGAAGCGCCAATGCAGTCCTGTATGCAGATATACTATGTACATATAGGTATACATTCAACTCTAGGAACGTATGGAAGTATGTCCGTATGCATGTATCTAAACAGTATATACGTATGGTTGTCTATCTGTCTGTGTATATAACTGTCTTTCTGTCTAGATGTACGTATGTACACCAGGTAGTGTAATGTTTGTTTTGTAATATGTAGCACAACGCAATGTATTTTTCATGCATTGTAAAGTAACGTAGGCAAGTTATGGCATTGCAATACAGTTCAGTGTGATGTACTATGATTTTTGTGATATAAAGCAATGTATTATAATTTGATGAGACGCGTTGAATTGTGATGCAATGCAATGTAATGTGATGTAATGCCATGCGCTGTGGTTTACTGTAATGTAGTGGAATGTGATGTAGTCTAGTGTAATGTATTGTAGTGGAATAGAGAGTAAATTAATGTAGCGCCATGTAATGTATTGTTATGTCGAGTAATGCAATGTAGTGCATTGTAACGTGACGTACGGTAGTGTAATGCCTCGTATTGTCTTGTATTATACTGTAATGCAATGTAATGCAATGTATGTATGTGTGTATACAATGTATATATGCATGCATGTAGATATGTATGTATGCTTACTTGCTTGTACGTTTGTGTGCTTGTCTGTAGGCATGCATGCATGTATGTTTGTATGCATGTACATCTGTATGTATGTATGTATATATATATATGTATACATCTATGTTTGTCTGCCTGTCTGTCTGTCCATGTATGTAGGTCTGTCTGCCTGCCTGTCTGTTTGTATGTATGTATGTATGTATGTATGCATGCATGCATGCATGCATGCATGTATGTATGTATGTATGCATGGAGGTATTCAGGTATGTAGGTTCGAATGTATGTATGTATATATGTATGCATGCATGCATGCATGCATGCATGCATGTATGTATGCATGCATGCATGCATGCATGTATGTATGTATGTATGTATGTATGTATGTGTGTATATACATGTGAATGCATTGGGCCCATCCTGCCATCGTGCCTAAGTTGTAGGTCAGAGGCCTCCTGGATGTCGGTGAGGGTCTCTTGGGAGGCCTCCCGGATGCATCTTGACGTTGATTTTAAGGGTTGTCTTCGGGCGTCTCAAGGCCCTCTTAGCGCCTGACTTGGGCTTCTCGTGACCTTTCGGGAGCCTCTTGGGGCCTGCTGGTCGCACCTCGGGGTTTTCTTGGGGGATCGATCTTGGGGCCATATGGGGGCGGAGGGCTCCAAATGTCAGTTCGTGTTTCCCCTCTTGGCGGGCCCCGCCCGCTCCGGCCGCCTGAGGCCCCGCCTTCCTGTGCCTTGTCTCCCTAATTAAAGCTGTGCGTAGCCCGCCTAGCTTTTAGCGGAAGAGGTTCGCTTTCGCCCCGCAGATCAAAAGTGTTTCCCCTCTTGGGCCACTCTCTTGGCCGTCTTGGGGGCCTTTTTGGTCCCTCTTGGGGGCTCTTGGGCCGTCTTGGGCCTCTTGGGCGACCGAAAAGGTGTAAATGCCCAAACCATACAATCATTGTGGATTTGACGATTTTGGCCTCATGGGCCGCCCTCCAGAGCATCCAAGACGTCCTAGGTGGCGCCCGAGAGGGCTCCAGGAAGGTCACCGGGGCCATCTGAAACCATGCTGTACGCGTTCTTGGCCTCACGCGGGAACCCCCCGATAGCGCCCATGAGCGCCCAGGAGCGCGCGAGAGCGCCCGGAATGCCGGGCTGCGGGCCCCTTGAATACTCACAGAGGTCAATACGCAGGACCGGGAGGGACCTGAGGACATTCCAACATGTGCTTGAGGGCACGGTGGCGGATATGTATGTATGTATGTATGTATGTATGTATGTATGTATGTATGTATGTATGTATGTATGTATGTATGTATGTATGTATGTATGTATGTATGTATATATGTATGCATGCATGCATGCATGCATGAATGTATGTATGTATGTATGTATGTTTTTATTTTGTGTATAAAGTTTTTGTGTGCGTACGTGTCTATACAATATTATATATATATATTTAGACACGTCCGTGCATCTGCATATGCGGGTGTATGTTTTAGATCATAATCGTAAATGTACATGCGCATGTGCGTATACCGCTATCTGTATTCAGATTCTAGACATCTGAACCTACATCAATCCGCCAACACATGTATACATGTACGTATGATTCAGCAAAAAGAGCCCATCGTCCTACAGACATCTTTGTGTATATGTACGTACGTGCACACGTATATGGTATATAGTTAGATACTTAGTTAGAAACATGTTTAGGCGATACGGTGTTTGTTGATTCAACAACTTTTTCTTTTGTAGGCACGTGAACATACATACCGACACATTCGGACCTACCCAGTTTGTCTGGGCATATCGTTAGCTATCGGTATCCCCATCGATCTACCTTTGTGTCTAACATTATCTATACCCATCGACACTTGGTTTGCACGTATGCGTATGTGTATCTGTACACATACAGCTGTATGTATAGAGTGATTTCGGTTTGCATATAGTTCATACGTGTATCAACATATGGACATATCCACATGTATGTTTGTACTTCATCTGTGCATCTTGAAATGTATGTATTTACGTATGCATATAGTAACGTATACATTTCCGTGTACCGAAGTTCAGGCATATGCGTGGACAGTTTTGGTTCCGTTGTTTTACATAGATATATACGTATGCGTGGGTCTACGTGTATGAAGCTTATGTATATGCACGGTGGAACTATATGTATGTATGTATGTATGTATGTATGTATGTATGTATGTATGTATGTAAGTTTGTATGTATGTATTTATATATATACACACACTATACACGCATCCCATGACAATATGTGTATTCGCACAAACGTTTACACACAACATGTGTATATACATATATATATATATATATATATATATATATATCTACAGATATATATATATATATATGTACATATTTACACATGCGACAACGGGGATTCGCGCCAGGGGGCGCGGAGGCCACGACCTCGTTGTTAAATGTATGGATGGCCCAGGAGCTGGTCCCGCTCTTGGAAGGGTTCAGATCAGCCCCCAGAGCGCTCGGACCGCCATCAAGGCCGCCCAAGACGGTTCCGAGGAAGAGGAGGCGGAAGATGACGAAGCGGCGCAGCGGCAGCACTAGTGGCAGCGGCTTGTTCTCCCCGACGGCCGCCGACCGCCCAGGACCTCAGCCTTCCGTCCGCCCGCTCTGGCTCGGAGGCCCCAGGGCCAAGAAGGGGCGGGCGGGGGGGAAGGAGAACCGGGGTGGAAGAAGAACGGCGCTCTCACCTCCTCTCGCCTCATACCAACTCCTCGCTCACCTTCTGCCTCTTTTTCCCCCATCTTCCCCTGTCCCCCTCCTGCTTCCTGGGAGGGGGAGGGGGGTGGGAAAAGGGGCAGGGGGAAGAGGCATAGTGAAGACGGAGGAGGAGATGAGGGGGATGAGAACGATGACCTGGAGGGGAGGATGAGGAGAAGGAGGAGGAGTCGAGATTTGAGCAAGGATGTTTCGAGCTTGTGTGTAACATTTTTGGCGTCCTGGAGGAAGAAGGGGGAAGGAGCAAGAGGAGGTGGAAGGAGGAGATGGATGTTGATGAGGAGGAGGCATGATGTTATTGTTATGTTTCCCAATTTTCCTGTGGTGCTGGGTACTCGTTTTGAAAACGCATCGTCGGGCGTCCTCCCTTACTCACTTCTCCTCCTCCCACTCCCCCCCTCATCCCTCCTCTCATCCCTGCATCTGCCCTCGGCATGTCCTCATCGTCATCGTCTTAGTCACATCATCGTCATCATCATCAACATCAACGTCGTCATCGTGGTCATTTTCATTGTCGTCATAACCGCCAACTTCATCACTACCTTTCTCATCGTTAATACCATTACAATCGCCATCATCGCGAATGGTCACCAACATCACCCCAATCAACATCATCTCATTTGTCATGCTCATCGCCATCATCACCGCCACTATCATTATCATCACTATCATCATTATCATAATTTCCATCATCATCGCCATCATCATTATCATCATCGTCAGCGTCATCGGCATCGATATCGGCATCGGCATCATCATCGCCATCATTATAATCACCATCACCATCATCAGCACCACCACCACCACCACCATCATCATCATCATCATCATCATCATCATCATCATCATCATCATCATCATCATCATCATCATCATCATCATCATCATCATCATCACCAGCGTCATCAACACCATCATCATCATCATCGTCATCATCATCATCATCATCACCACCACCACTACCATCATCATGAACATCATGCTAGTCATCATCATTATCATCATCATCACCGCCATCATGATCAGCAGCACCGTAATCACCACCACCACCATCATCACCATCATCATCATCGTAGTCATCATCTCCAGCAGTAACATCATCAGCACCATCATCACCATTATCAACACCATCATCATCATCATCATCATCATCATCATCATCATCATCATCATCGTCGCCATTATCATCATCACAATCAGCAGTGTCATAACCATCCTATACATAGCCATCTTCAAATTTCTCGTCATTTTCATCTGTTGCGTCTTCGTCGTGTTCATGGTAAACATCGTCGTCATCATCATCGCTACCACCAGCATGACTACCATCATCGTCATCACCATCCCATTTGCCCATACTGCAATATAGGGTTCTTGCTATTCTAGACTCTTCTCGTAACCCCCCACCAGCCCGTCAAGAAACGATACCCAGGCGAGTCGCCCTGATCAGGCATGCGGGGGAGTATGCGGTGGAATAATGGCTTGGCCGCCTTCGTACCCCAAGAAGAGTCGGATGGAGGAGGAACCCGAGGAGAAGGAGGATGACGATAGGGGGAGAGGGTTGGAGGGAGGATGGAGGAGGGTGTAATGAGGATAAAGCGGATGAGAAAGATGAGGATCATGAGGAGGAGGATGAGGAGGAGGAGGAGGAGGAGGGGGAGGAGGAGGAGGAGGAGGAGAGAGGAGGAGGAGGAGAGGAGGAAGATGAGGAGGAGGAAGAGAAGGAGGAGGAGGAGGAGGAGGAGGAGGGAGGAGGAGGAGGAGGAGAGGAGGCAGGAGGGAGGAGGAGAGGAGGAGGAGGAGGGGAGGGGGAGGAAGAGGAGAGGGGGAGGAGGAGGAGGAGGAGGAGGAAGGAGGAGGGAGGAGGAGGAGGAGGAGGAGGAGAGGGAGGAGGAGGGGAGGGGGAGTTGGGAGGAGGAGGAATGCGAGCAAAAAGCCAGATGCCTCTGGGATGCCAGGAGGAGGAGGAGGAGGAGGAGGAGGAGGAGGAGGAGGGAGGGAGGAGGAGGAGGAAGGAGGAGGAGGAGGAGGAGGAGGAGGAGGAGGAGGAGGAGAGGACGAGGAGGAGGAGTGCGAGCAAACAGGCCAGAGGCCTCTTGGATGCCTCTCGGATTTTCTTCGGATATCTCTTGAGGGCTTCTTGTAGGCCTCTTGAGGCCTCTTGGGGGCTTGTGGCGGTCTCGAGGGCCTCGGGGGAGCCCTTTCGGGCCTCCTGGGGTTCCCGGATGGGGTCTCTTGGAGTCATCTTTCATCTTGGGGGTCTCTTGGGGCATCCTGGGCCTCCTTGGAGCCCTCTTGGACCACTTGGGAGCCTGAGGATCCATCTTGGGGCCGTCTAGGAGGAGATCGATCAACGGAGGGTCCGTAGTAAATTAGCCCCCCCTAAGTGGTCAACATGTGGCCAACACCTCAGTAACATCACTGATTTTGGCCTTGTCGCCGAGGGTACTTGGGGCGTCTTGGGTGCCTCTGGGGCCTCTTGGGGTCTCTTGGGGGTCTCTTGGGATACTGTTAGGGGCATCTTGGGGACCTCTTGGGGGCCTCTTGGGGCCTCCTGGGCTCCTGGGCACCTCTTGGGGCCGCCTTGAGGCACCCTTGGGAGCCTCGGGGGCCATCTTGGGGCCATCCTAGGGCCACCTAGGAAAAGATCGATCAAATGAAGGGGCCTCTTGGGTGCATCTTGGGGGCCTGTTGGCGCCTCCTGGGCATATTTTGGGGCCCTCTTGGGGCATTCTCGGTAGCCTCGGAGACCATATTGGAGGTGATCGGTCAATGAAGGGGGAGGTTCCAATTAGCGCTGCCTCTTCAGGGGCCGAAGCGTGGCCAACATCTACGTCAAATCAATGATTTTGGATTCTTCGCCGAGGCCATCTTGGACGCCCCACCGCCTCGCAGACCCCCCTCCAGGTCCCGGGGGAGGGGATACGGGGAGGGGTAAGCCATTCCCTGATGGGGGAGGACTCTAAATGAGGTTGGGGCAAAGGCGAGAAATAGCGAGCGTTTGACCGCGGCCGTTTGTGCGCAAGCGGCCGGCCGCCAACATATGACTGCGCCTCATCGCGAGGCACACTGCTTGCCATTCGGACCGAAAACATCTTCGCTTGACATGGCCCGTCGCTCCCGCGACGAGCTCCTACTTCTGGGACTATCGTCACTACGGTACAACAGAGTTGGAAATGGGTTTCGCCTTAGGCGAAGCGTATGGTTGGGCCTCCCACCCCCCTTCAAACTGGAGGAAGGGGGTTTCGAGCAGGAAACTTCCTAAACCACTCACGCTCTAAAGGGCTGGTGGGGTTATTCAGACGCCTCTGGCTTGCTCACGCCTCCTTCTCCCACTCCTCCTCCTCCTATTCCTCCTCAGTCAGCTACAGTCATACTCAGACTCTCTCGCACTCAGACCCACGCACACTCAGACTCTATCGTATCTGCTTTCGTACCCGACTCGTACTCATACTCACATATACTCAGACCCACTCAAACTTATACCCACTCAAATCTCTCTCCCTCGCTCGGGCTCACTTATGCGTATATTCGCTCGTCTTAGACGCGCTCATGTTGCGACCTGCTCGCGCTCAGACTCAGACTCCCTCACAGTCAGCCTCACTCGCGCTTGGACTTGCTGCGTACTCGCACTCAGGCTCGCAGATCGTGAAGATGTCTCAGCCGAGTTGCTGGTCTCAGCACCCCAAGGGGGAGCCGCCAGGGGTGGTTGCACGGCCGGGTTCGCGTCCAAATCGTGGGGATTTCTCAGGCGGTTTGCTTGTTTGGTTGTTTAAGCTTGTTTGCTGTCAGGGCAGACTGTGAGGATGTCTCAGCACATTTGCTGGTTTCAGCACCACATGGGGGACCTGACAGGCGTGGTTGAACGGCTTCGTTCGCGGCCAGAATTTTGGATGTTTCAGGTGGTTTGCCTGTTTGGTTGGTTGGATCTGCTGGCTTTCAGAGCAGATTGTGAGGATTTCTGTGCCGATTTTCTGGTCTCAGCGCCCCTAGGGGGGATCTGCCAGGGGTGGTTGCACGGTCCCGTTCGGGCCCAGAGCGTGGGAACGCGGGGATGTCTCAGACTGTTCGCTTGTTTGGTTGCTTGGAGTTGGTTGCTTTCAGGGCAGACTGTGAGGATGTCTCAGCCAATTTTGCTGGCTTCAGCGCTCGTTCGGGGAGCCGCCAGGGGTGATAGCTTTGCCCCTTTCGCGCCCATATTAGGGGATGTCTCATGCGGTTTGCCCGTTTGGGTGTGCTTTGGATTGTCTGCTTTCAGGGCTGATTGCGAGGATCCCTCTCCCGATTTGCCGGTTTCAGCACTCCAAGGCGGAGCCGTCAGCGGTGGCTGCACGGCTCCGTTCGGGCCCAGATTGTGGGGAGGTTTCAGGCGGTTTGCCTGTTTGGTTGCTTGGGCTTGTTTTTTCTCAGAGCAGAAAGTCATGACATCTCAGCAGGTTCGTTTGTTTTTGCGCCCCAAGGGTGAGCCGCAAGGGGTGGTTGCACTGTCCCGTTCGCACTCAGGTTGTTGAGATTTCTCAGGTGGCTTGCTTGTTTGGTGGTGCTTTCAGAGCAGATTGTGAGGGCGTCTCATGCGATTTGCCTGCTTGGTCGCCCAGGCTCCTTAATTCTCACAGCAGATCGTGGGGCTGTCTCGGGCGGTTTGCCTGTTTGGTGGCCCCGGCTCCCCCGCCTTCAGGACATCCTGCGCGGCTCTCTCCGGCGAAGCGCTGGCTTCCTCCCCCCCTCCTGGGGGGAGCCGACAGGGCCCGTTCGCGCGCAGACTGACAATGCCAACCCATGTGTTTTCGTTGAAGGATGTTGGCTTCTCGGGGAGGCCCTGAGAGGTCACTGGAAGCAGTTTCATCCGTCGCGCCCAGGCTCTTTCAGGCCAGCTTCGGGCTCGCGGGGCACGGGCGGTCTCGTGACCCCTTGCGGTGTGGTGTGCCGTTCACTGTGCGGGGCCCGTCGGCAGCGTGCCCGAGCGTTCGAACCTGCGCCCAGGCGACCCTTGACCGGCAGTGTTCGCAGTCTAGAGGACCTATAAAACGGCAGTGGTTCTGCTTGAGCTTCGGAGACATCACCAGCGACAGGTGCACTGAGGAGACTCAGGGGTGGAAAGGGAGAGAGAGAGAGAGAGAGAGAGAGTACGAGAGAAAGAGAGAGAGAGATATTAAGAGAGAGAGAGATAAACAACAGGAAAGAGAGCGAGACAGAAGGAGAGAGAAAGAGAGAGAGAGAGAGAGAATAGAGAGAGAGAGAGAGAGAGAACCAGAGACATTTCGGCCCGCATGTGTCTGTGCTTCAGGGCAGATTGTGAGGATGTCGTGAGCGAGGCGCTGTTTTCAGCACCCGAAGGGGGAGCCACCAGGGAGCAGATTTCGATGATGCCTCGAGCGAAGCGCTGGCTTCAGCACCCCATGGGACAGCCGCCAAGCCCCCGCCCCTTGAGGGAGGTTTCTGGGGGGAGAGCCATTTTACCCCCCACCTCGGGGTAGGATAGGGGGGGTTTTCTAGGGGGGGGGTCCCCCCGAATTGGAGTTCCTGGAGGCTGGCCAGGAAAAACTTCCGAACTCCATCAGAAACCCTTTCTGAGGAGGGGGGGTAAGAGGGTTTTGGGTGCAGGACCTCACCTAAGGGGGGCTTTAGTTTAGAAGGGAGGTTTTTTTTCTTTTTCTGATAGTAGTATAGTTGTCCATTTTTGGCGCCCCGGAACCCTTCCAAAACCCGCCCAACAAGTCTCCCGCCCAGGACCCCCCCTCCAACAAAAAACTCTTCAATGGGGGGTGGGGTGGGGTGGGGGGGAGGCAGATTTCCCAGGGGGCATGTCGGGGAACTGCCACACTAGTCTCCTCCAGTGGCTATCTTGACCCATCTCGGGTTATTTTCTGCCATCTGTGAAGACATATTGGACATCGGGGGGCCCTCTTGAGGCCAGAGCGGACGCAAGCATGACCCCCAAAGAACCCTCTGACGCCTCGGATGGAATTATGAGCTCCTCGAACCACCCACGCCAAGAGGGTTGGTGGGATGACTCCTTTCTGTTTTGTTCCACTCCTCTTCCTGTGCTGTTGGGCCTTCGTTTTCTCTCCGCAGCGCCGCGCGTCCTTTTCCCTCCGCACCTCATCTCCCTCTTCTTTCCCCTCATCCTTCTCTTCCCTGTCTTCTTCTTCTCCTTCTTCTCCTCTTTCTGCACTCTCCCGTGTCGGCACGCCCTTCGCACGTTCCGCGCCCCACGGAAAGCTCCACGCACGGCCCCAGATACAATGTTCTCATGGCGCCCTCCCGCCCAATTCGGCACAACCCTCGCGCGCATCATGCCCCGAGTGGAGTTCGGCGGCCTCTGCGCGCTGCTTGCTCCGCGGCCCCGTACCCGCACTGCGCCGCGTCGCGAAGCGCGTGAGCAGAGGGAGGCAAGCACCGCGCTAGGGGCGGAGCCATTGTGTTGTGTAGAGGCTCAAGTAGCGACTCCCTCCTCCGTCCCGCGTTCCCTCCCTTCCCCTCCTCCGCCTCCTCCTTCGCCTCCTCCGCCTCCTCCTCCTCCTCCTCTTCCCCTTCCTCCTCCTCCTCCTGCTCCTCCTCCTCCTCCTCCTCTTCCTCCTCCTGCTCCTCCTCCTCCTCCTCCTCCTCCTCCTCTCCTCCTCCTCCTCCTCCTCCTCCTCCTCCTCCTCCTCCTCCCTCCTCCCTCCTCCTCCCCCTCCTCCTTCCCCTCCTCCTCCTCCTCCTCCTCCTCCTCCTTCTCCTCCCCTCCTCCTCCTCCTCCTCCCCTCCTCCTCCGCCTCTCCTCCTCCTCCTCCTCCTCCTCCTCCTCCTCCTCCTCCTCCTCCTCCTCCTCCTCCTCCTCCTCCTCCTCCTCCTCTCCTCCTCCCCCTCCCCCTCCCCCTCCCCCTCCTTCTCCTCCCCCCTCCTCCTCCTCCTCCTCCTCCTCCTGTTCCTCCTCCTCCTCCTCCTCCTCCTCCTCCTCCTCCTCCTCCTTCGCCCTCCTCCTGCCTGTCCGTCGCCTCCTCGTCTCCTCGTCGCTCTCCTTCCCCGCCCCCCACCTCTCCGCCGCTCCCCCGTCGGCTGCCCCGCGCGGGCGCCGGCAGATCTGGGTGGACCCCAACCGGGTCGGAGAGGGTCGCAGGCGGTCCGAGGAGAACCTCTCCAGGCGGGCGCGGGGGGGGGGTCGATGTGAAGGGCTCGCGGCTGGAGGCTCGACGTGTGCAAGCTTCCTGTGCCGTGCTCTTTCGAGTCCCGTGGCGCGCCCTCGTGGCCGCGGCTGCATCCGCCTCGAAACCTGGGTCCGCGGTGCACCCCTGGACAGGTTTGCTGGCCGATGTTCGCTGGGGGTGGGTGGGAGAGGCCCAGATCGAAGAAGAGCAAAACGCCATAAACATAAACTTTTGGCGCTCCGCGCGGTTTTCTTGGATGACCCCCATCCGCGCGGAGCGCCAACAGTATGTTGATGGCGTTTTTTTGTCCCTCCATCCATGGTGCACCCCTGGACAGGTCTGTTGGCCGATATTCGAGGGGGCGGGAGAGACCTGGACCTCCAACATCTTGAAGAACGCTGGGCAGATTTTGTTCGCCATCTTCTGCCTCTGGGTTCTGTTTCCGAGATCCTCGGCAATCTCCACGATCCAGGACGCAAACCCAGTTCCCAGGGAGGGCTCCGAGAGCTCTGGAGGGTGAGTGTTGGAAAAACAACGCCAAACGTCTGGGGGAGGCGGTGGTGGAGGGTGAGGACCTAGGATCCCAGGCATCTGGAGACCAGACTTTCTCGATGCGCGGGCCCCTGGACCTTTCGACCACTTCCCCAACATCGGCTTTTTATTAAGAGCTGCTCTTTGACGGTCCTGAGGCCCGAATCTGGCCTCCAGAGCGAACAAACAGAGTGTCTCGATTTTGCGAAGCACGGGACGTCTGGGATGGAGTTTTCGGAAAAGATTCTCTTCGAGGGGGGTGAGCCCAGTGTGGAGTCAGGGAAAGAACTCAGCTGGAGGCTCACATTTCCTTTCTCCCGGGGCCATCCGCAGCGAGTTTCTTCTTACCCGCCCTACGGCCCTACCGATCCTGACAACCGCCCGGCCAAAGACCTCCAGGGAAGGGCGGCACAGAGCTGCGACAGCCTGTGTGTTTCTGCCGCGGAGCCGTGGCCACCGCAGTCCGAGCTGAGACTGAGTCAAGCTCTGGCGGAGAGTGGGACGATGCCAGGGCGGCCCCTCCCTCATGGGCCTGTTTTCCACCACCACCACCATGAGTTGGAGGGGGAGGGGGTCCTCCTCCTCCTCCTCCTCCTCCTCCTCCTCGTCCTCCTCCGCCTCGTCGTCCTCCTCCTCCCCCCCTCCAACTTATGATGGTGGTGGTGGTGGTGGAAACCAGGCCCACCAGTCCCTCTTCTCAACTGCTCGGCGGTCAGAGCGCGCTGGCGGCCTCGTCGCGGGGGCGCGCGGCCGCGTGCGAGTGCCCGGCCCTGGGGTGCCGTTGGAGTGCGCGGGGAAGTGCGCTGGCCTTCTGGCCGGCACGGCTCTCCCTCCCGAGCTCGCGCCACGCATCCTCTGGCCGGCGGCGAGCGAGGGGGGGGGGGGAAACGAGAGGGAGAAGGCCTTCTCAGAAAGCGGCGGGACTTCTCAGGAGCCCTCGCGCCTTCCGGGAAGCTCTCCGTGTCTTCGGGGGAGGCTCGGAGAACTTCCCAGGAGGCCGGGGGACTTCCAGGCCTTCTGGCCCCCTCTGCCTTCCCCCCGGCGCTCGCCGCCAATCTGGGTTTCGGGCGTGTCAGGTCCGTCGTCGCTCCTCAGGTCCAGACCGCCTGCAGTCGAAGGAGCGGTGCGGGGGGCGAGGTGCGCGTGGTGCTGCTCCTGCTCCTGCTCCGCGTCGTCCTCTCCGTCCTCCTCGTCATCCGCCCCGTTGTCATCGTCGTCCTTGTCCGCCTCGTCGTCCGGGTCCTCGTGGTGCTTTTCGTTCGCATCGTCTTGTTCGTGCTTGTCCTTGTCATGCCATCTTCGTCGTCCTCGCAGTCGTGTTTGTCGTCGTCCCTGACGTAGTCGTCCTCGTTGTTTTCGTCTTCCCCGTCGTCCTCGTCCTCGTCTTGGTCGTCTTGGTCGTCTTGGTTGCCGTCGTCGTCGTCGTCGTCGTCGCCGTCGTCGTCGTCGTCGTCGGCGTTGTGCTGGTCAACATCGTCGTCCTTGTTCCCATCGTATGCATCGACATCCTTCGCGTCCTCGTCCTCGTCCTCGTTTTCTTCCTCGTCGTTGTCCTGCGGGGGTACGAGGTGCGCGTGCGGGGCAGTCCTGCTGTTCGACGCAACGGTGTGCTGGAAGTGCCACAAGCGTTCGCAGGCGGAGCAGGCGCCGGCGAGACACGGGACGAGGGAACGATGGAGGGCAGATGGGTCAGACAGGCGGCAGAGCGGCGGAAGGAACGAGCGGCGGAAGGAACGAGGGGGCAACGACGAAGGAGGAAGGGGAAATGATCAGAAGAGAAAAGGGAGTGGAGGGAGGGAGGCAGGACATTTGTTGTTGAACATTATTAATTCTAAAGAATAATTATTGTTGGGCCCCCTGGTGCACGCCCCCCCCCCCGCGCCTAGGCCGCAGCCACATTTTCATAATTTTCGTGAGGAAGTCTCAGGTAAAACGATGTCATCCAGATCCGGTTGTTTTGTTGACGCCCGCTTTCCCTGTCAAAAAACACTATAAAATGACATGTCTTGTTCTAACATAACCAAACTTCAAGAATCCTTTGCAAAAAATGACACGAAGTGCACACTCGCGCGCGCAAGATGAAATCCTTCCAAAACCTTAGTTTTCGTAGCGATTTTAACATAAAAACATGAAAAACCCAATGGTTTTTCAAAAAAAAAGTTTCAAAAATTCATCCCGCGCGCTCTTGCGGATTTCTGAGGAAACGCAATATTTTTTCAACATTTCTGTCAAACGGGCTCTTGCGAGCAACTTTTTCACGTGCTTCGAACTTCTGCAACAACGGTTGCGCGCATGGCAGGGCCATCATCCGTGTCAAATAATACCATATGGGACACATTCGTTTTTTCTTCGCGCGCGCACGCCGTCGTCGTCGGCCGCGGGGCCCTGAATAGTAGCCACGGTCGTCCGCATGCCACGAAGTGAAGTGTCCGAACGTCATAGGGCGGGAAGCTGGGTGTGGGTGGTGGCGAAGAGTCGTTGGAAATTTGGTAGAGCTTGAACCGGCCCCCCCACAAAGTGGGGGTATTGCCCGCCTCCTATGAAAACCCTGGCACTGGTGAGAACGGAGTGTCCCCAGTCTTAAATGATTGTTGGTGTTGTTGTTGTTGTTGTGATTGCTGCTGTTGTTGTTGTTGTTGTTGTTGTTGTTGTTCTTGTTGTTGTGTTGTGTTGCCGTTGTTATCGTCGTTGTTGTGGTTATTGTTGTGGTGGATGTTTTTGTTGGTTGTTGTTGCTGTTACTGTTGCTGTTGTGGTGGTTGATGGTGTCGTTGTTGTTGTTGTTGTGGTTGTTGTTGTTGTTGTGGTTGTTGTTGTTGTTGTTGCTGCTGTTGTTGTTGTTGGTGTTGTTGTTGTTGTTGTTGTTGTTGTTGTTGTTGTTGTTGTGGTGGTGGTGGTGGTGGTGGTGGTGGTGGTTGTTGTTGTTGTTGTTGTTGTTGCTGGTGTTGTGGTTGTTGTTGTTGTAGTTGTTGCTGTTGTTGTTGTTGTTGCTTTTATTGTTATTAGTTGATTTTTCTTTTTGTTGTTGTTGCGTTTGTTGTTTATTTTGTCTATTTTGTTTTTGTTCGTATGTTTTTTGTTCTTTATTGTTGTTTGTCGTTGTTGTGGTTGTTGTTGAATTCCCATTACAGAAGAAAGCACATGGTTGATCCCCCCTCTGTGACCATTTTGTTTTTTCAATTGAAGTGCTTCCCCTGGGGCTTGCACCCGGGTCACTAGGCTCAAATTGTGTGGTTGGCACCCCGATTACAGAAACAACGGTTCCCCCTTGAGACTTCCTTACAGTTTAGACAGGACCCCCCCTCCCGCCTGAGACTTCCTCGCATTTCACTCATGAATCGCGCTCTCGCTTGAGACTTCCCCACAATTGTGCAGGAATCGCTCTCGCTGGAGACTTGCTTGCAATTTACTCAAGGATCGCGCTCTTGCGTCGGAATTTCCCGCAATTAACTCAAGCGCCGCGTGCCCGACACTCAGGCACCCAGGAGTCGCGCTCACGCTGAGGACTCCCTCACAGCTTACGTAGGAATCGGGATCTCGCTGCCCTTCGTGGCCCTGTTGCAGCCCTTCGTGGGCCCCTCGCTGCCCTTCGTGGCCCCGTTGCAGCCCTTCGTGGCCCGGTTGCAGCCCTTCGTGGCTCCCTCACTACCCTTCGTGGCCCGGTTGCAGCCCTTCGTGGCCCCCTCGCTACCCTTGGTGGCCCCGTTGCAGCCCTTCGTGGCTCCCTCGCTGCCGTTCGTGGCCCCGTTGAAGCCCTTCGTGGCCCCCTCGCTGCCCTTCGTGGCCCCGGTGGCCCCCTCGCTGGCCTTCATGGCCCCATATATGTACGCCCTTCGTGGCCCCTGCTCGTTCGCGCTCGTCGTGGCCCCATCTGCATGCGCTTCGTGGCCCCGCTGTCGCTCTTCGTGGCCCCCTCGCTGCCCTTCGTGGCCCCCGTTCGTTCGCTCCCGTCGTGGCCCCAAATGGATGCCCTTCGTGGCCCACTGTCGCCCTTTGTGGCCCTGTCGCTGTCCTACATGGCCCCGTTGCTACACTCAGTGGCCCCGTCGTTGCACTCTGTGGCCCCGCATTATCTGCCCTTCGTGGCCCCCGCTCGTTCGCGCCCTTCGTGGCCCCATACGCATGCCCTTCGTGGCCCCCCCTGTCGCCCTTCGTGGCCCCCATCCTGCTCTTCGTGGCCCCGCTGTCGCTCTCGCTTTCTCTCTCGCTCTCGCTTTCGCTCGTCGTCGTCGTCGTCGTCGTCGTCGTCGTCGTCGTCGTCGTGGTCGGTCCCCTGTCCGTCCCTCTTGAGGTCGAGTTTCCGCCGATCAGCGCTGCCGCTGGCCAGGCTGGCGGTCCGCGGCCGCCCCGCCGCTTGCCTGTGCCCGGCCTGCAGGGAAGAAAGATATATCCCCCCAAAGGGGTTCGTAAACGAAGAGGGCTGGTATCGAGGGTTTGGGAAATACGCTATGCATAGCATTCGAGCAGCTAAGAGCGAACAGTTTAAGGTTGTGATTGTTGTTGCTGTTGTTGTGGTGCATGTGGTGATTGTTATTGTTGCTGTGATTGATGATGATGTTGTTGCGCTTGCTGCTGCTGTTATGGTTGTGGTTGTGGTTTTGATTGTGGTTGTGGTTGTGGTTGTGGCTGTGGTTGTGGTTGTTGTTGTTGTTGTTGTTGTTGTTGTTGTTGTTGTTGTTGTTGTTGTTGTTGTTGTTGTTGTTGTTGTTGTTGTTGTTGTTGTTGTTGTTGTTGTTGTTGTTGTTGTTGTTGTTGTTGTTGTTGTTGTTATTGATATCATGATTGTTAGGACTACTACTAACATCATTATTTTTTATGTTTAGTATTACGACTGTTCTTATTGCTATTGTTGTTATTCTTATTGTTGTTGTTATTGTTGTTGTTGCCGGAACACTCATCAATGCCTCGCGCCGAGAGGGTGCCTTCATCGGTGCGGGTGCGCGCGTTTTGTCTCGGGCCTTCGCGCCTTTTCTTTGATGCGTCTGCGTGCGCGCGCGCGCGTGTGTGTGTGTGTGTGTGTGTGTGTGTGTGTGTGTGTGTGTGTGTGTGTATGTGGGTGTGTGTGTGTGTGTGTGTGTGTCCGTGTCAAGCAATGTGCGCGTGCGGCGTAATGTTTTCAGGCGCGTGTGCGCGGACGTGCGCGTGTCCCCCAGGCGGGACCACAGGGCCCCGGCCGTTGGCGGGGGGTCTTCCCCGCCGCGCCGATGCCGGGGCACCCCGGAGTCCAGGCCGAGTGCGCATGGCGTCCTGCGCGGCGCGCCCCGGGAGGTCGCCCTGGGGGCCGCGGCGAGAGGCGGGCCGACCGAGACAGATAGATTCCCGGGAGACGGCCCGCTTCTGGCGGGCCCGGGTCCTCTGGGTCATCGGAGCTCGCTTCCTGTGCTGGCATGCTGTGCTGATCATCTCGTGCACGGCTCTCTAGGGCTCTGTCCACTGCCTCAGCAGCCACGGGTCCTTGCGTCTGCGTGCTTCCGCCAGACATCTCAGTGCGGCGTCTCTGTTCCCCTCCTCCCCCTCCCTGTCCTCCTCCTGCTGCCTGCTTTCCCCTCCCTCCCCTCCGCAGCTTGGCGCCGTGAATTGGTAATTGCGTAACTTTTTATGTGTCAATACGCCGTGCGAGTGCTGGGCTTGACTTACTGACTGTGTCCAGGGCTCTTCCGCACGCTTTTTTAGGCCGCCAGTGCCTCCATGTCGCCTCGGCCATTTCTGGTAGCCGCTCCCTCGGCGCTCGTGAACCTGGTCGAGCCTCGCTCTCATTGCTGCAGGCGCCTGGTCTTCCTCTCCTCCTTGCCCTGGTCTTTTCCGCGCGCGGCATGCGCGTCATCTACCTCATGCTCTTCTCAAGGACTTCGACTCCCTACTGCTGCACTTCGGCACGCGTACCTTGTTGCATGGTCTGAGTGTGGCTTCCTCTCGCTGGGCCCTCCTCCGGTCCCCCCGCGCCTGCGCACCTGGCTCCCGTACCCCAACTTGCCTCTGCGTGTTCCGCCGCTGCCCGCACGCCGTCTGATCCTCTGCGGAAGCTGCCGAGACAGAAAAGTGGCATCCACGAGAAGGGGACGGTGCTGCGCGGCGTCGTAGAGGTGGGGGTCGTCGTGCCTGCCACACTGGGAGGGACGGGCCGCGCTGGTGGCGGTCAGTCGCGCCACAGCTTGACAGCCTTCTGTGCTTGTGTGCCCCCTCCCGTGCGCGGGTATCGCTCGCGCGCGTCAACGAGGTCCTGGCGCGTGCCTTCCTCTCGACGATCCTCAGGACGTGTGTTGGCCCCATGTGTGTGTGTGTGTGTTCACCCCCTTCGACCCAGCCAGTAGATCATCACATCGCCTGCGTCGCATCGAAGTGCCTCGATGGACAAACACGAGTTGGGGCTAACACGCGTTCCGAGGATCATTGATCCTCTCGGTACCTCGCAAAGGGGTGGGGGGCCACGGGGGGGGGAGTTCGGTCCGTTGGCGCATCGAACCTCAGAAACACGGTGCAAAGCGAGGCCTCCGGCCGCCGCCGGAACCCGAGAGGCGTCGACAGTCGGGGCGCGGGGGGGCCATCGTTTTTCGGAGATTCGACGCACCAGCGGATCGAACTCGCCCCCCCCGCAGGGTATACCGCCCCCCTTGGTTTAAGTCGGGCTTGTCCCTCTGCAGGGGGGAAATTCAAGAATAGTAAAAAAATAGTCCAGGACTATTTTTTTTGGAGTGTATTGTTTGGAGTATTTTTCCTTTTTCGTCCAAAACCTCCCTGTAGGGGGACAGGCCCGACCTAACCCTTCGTGGACCGCGATCCTCCTCTGGCGTGCCAGCTGCCGAACAAAAGGGGCACCAGCGGATCGAACTCGCCCCCCCCCTCAGGGTACCGCCCCCCTTTGGTGGACCCCCTCCTCCTCCTCCCTCCTCCTCCTCCTCCCTCCTCCTCCTCCTCCTCCTCCCTCCTCCTCCTCCTCCCCTCCTCCTCCTCCTCCTCCTCCTCCTCCTTCGCCTCCCTCCTCCTCTGGCGTGCCAGCTGCCGAAACAAAAGGGGCGAGCCCGGGCGCAGGGCCCGCGCTGCCCTCGGCCGACGCAGGGCCTGCGCGCGCTGCTGCGCGGCGGGCGCAGGGCCGCGCGGGGCGGCGGAGCGGGGGCGGACCCCCCAAGGCTGGGCGGGCGGAGCTCCCGGCGCCCGGCCGCGGGGGGGGGGGGCCACCGTGCGTCGGGCCTGTCCCTCTACAGGAGGAGTATTCAGGAATATATATATATATATATATATATATATATATGTGTTTATATATGTATATGTATGTATAAAAACAACAAGTATGGGGGCCATTCTTTAGATTATTTTTCTGATCACTCTTGGAGCTTTTTTGGCTTCTCTGTAAGAGTTTCCCTGCAGGATCTGCCTGTAGGGGGGATGTGCCCGACCCGAGGCCAACCGCAGCCGGGATGGGCGCGAGGCTGGGGGCTGCCGCCTGGCGCAGGCCTGGAGGTTGACACCAGCACCAATATATCGGCGGCGTGCCTCCACCGAGGGAAGACCGAAATCTGGGATCATCTTCCCCCGGTGGACTTGGTATTGCTCGGATGTGTGCACTTTTTCTCGGCGGGGGTTATTCAGGAGCATCCTGGATCATCCTGCGAAAAAGCCACGCACGAAACCGAAAACAGCAAAGAGAATGGACGTTCAAGCGATGGCCAGTGGAGGCAACTCCCTGTGTTGGTGTCGGTGCCCATCTCCAGGCCTCCACGGAGAAAGATAAGGCCGCGATTTCCCTCTCGGCGGGAGGCGGTGCTGCGGGGGGGCCGGGGCAGGTGGGGCGCCGGGCCTGGCGGCACCTGCCCGCCGCAGAAGAGGAGCACGCGCACGGGCGCAGTGCACGGCCAGACATGCGCGCGCGCGCTTGGTCGTTGCAGTGCGCTTCGAGCATGATTTTTCGGGGAGGGGTCGGGCCAGCTGGAGCTGGGCGGCAGTTTTTAGACACGTAGAGCGGGCAGTCTGGCTGCCACTGTCCAGAGCGCTTCCGTGCCCATGTTGGCTCCAGCCCGCGCTCGGCTTCTCTCCGCCCGCCCACAGCAGAGACTCTCCCCATCCCTGGCGGGAGCGGACCGCCCCCAGCCGCGTCCCTGGACTTATGATGTTTCAACCTACTTTAGCCTTGATCACCAGAATGAATTTCGAGCACCAAGAAGACACTCCCCAAATCGAGGGCTTTCACGTGCCGGGCCCTGGGAGACACGCTTTCGACACTCTTTCGACACTCTTTCGACACTCTTTCGGCCCTCTTTCGACACTCTTCTGGGTGCTCGAAATCTATTCCTGGGATGTGGTCCTTAAGTAGGATGGGAGCAACCTAGCCCTGGACCGGGGAGGTGCGTTCACGGGGGCGCGCTCCTGGACGGTGGGCCACCGTTCGTGCCCCCCCACCCGCCGCAGGGAAGAGCACGCGCGCAGTGTCACGTTCCAAACGCGCGTGCCTCTCTGGAAGGTGAGCGGTTGGGCCGCGTTTCGCACATCGGCTGTCTTGTCCAGTGTCGGAAGCGCCCTCCTTGAATGACGCGTTCACGTTCAAAACGCGCGTGCCTCTCTGGAAGGTGAGCGGTTGGGCCGCGTTTCGCACACAGGCTGTCTTGTCCAGTGTTACGATGCTCCAACCTACTTTGGCCCTGACTGCCAGGAAGAATCTCGAGCGCCGGAACAGTGCCCAAGAACTTTTGGGGGTTTTCACGCGTCGGGTCCTGGGAGACACTCGTCCGACACTGCGTCGACACTATTTCGACACTCTTTCGACACTTTTCTGGGTGCTCGAAATTATTTCCGGGGCGTGGTCCTTCAGCACGACGGGAGCAACATAGACATAGGCTGTATTGTCCAGGGTCGGACGCGCCCTCCTTGAGTGACGCGCCCCCGTGGGGCCTTCCGCTCGGGCGAGGCCCCTTTCCGTCAAGGGCCCGCCCTCCATCCTGTGAGCTAAGAGAACCGCTAGGCGATGGGATGCAGGATACCCAGGAAGTGCCCAGCGATGGCTCCATTTTGCGGCGGCGGGAAAGAGGGGGGTGATGACCAGTGGGGGGTTGCTATCATGGCGGGGGCCATGATATTTCCCCAGATTTTATGGCGCCTCTTCTTATTTCAGTACGTCCCTGGCCCCCCGCTGGGCCGCGCACATGCCGCCGGTCATGATTTGCACCCCCCCCCTCTTGGACGCCCCCCCTCTTGGCCGCCCCCGAATTCTGAAACAGATCAGCATCTCTTCCGTGCTGCGCGGAAGCCTTGGGAGAGGGCCCCATTTTGACACGGCGCCGCCCTCCGTCCGTGCAGCTATCACACGACCTGGAACACGTGGTCAGGATGTGTGATTCCCAGGCGGCGCCAGCAGTGGGCACTGTGCCAGTTTTGGGTGTACCGGCTTACCCTCGATCCAGTGCCTGGTCTAGACAGCTTTTCTACTTTTTCCTCCTCCTCCTCCTCCCCTCCTCCTCCTCTCCTCTTTCTCCTCTGCACAGAAATTGTCTGGGCAATAGTTGCCACGTGAATATTCTATGACGCGGATATTTGACGTTAAACCCACATTCTAAACATTATCTTTCGCGGCAAATGTGCGCGGCGCTGCTGCGAGATCACCATGATGAAACCGCCGGCCTTCCGTCCTCGTAACTGTTGCAGGGGGTCAAGACGAGCGTGCGCGTCGCTGCGGCGAACGCACCGTTACGAAAACCACCTGTCCAAAATTCGTGTGATGGTTCGATTCTCATGTTCCGGGATAGCAAGGTGCCCGACTGGCCTGCGACTTTTGGACCAGTCTGCGGATACCCTGGTGGTGCGACAAGGGGTAGTTGTCTAGCGGATAGGGTCTGCAGGAGGAGGAGTAGGAGGAGGAGGAGGAGGATTAGGATTAGGATTAGGATTAGGATTAGGATTAGGATTAGGATTAGGAGGAGGATTGGGAGGAGGAGGACGAGGAGGAGGGGGACGAGGAGAAGGAGGACGAGGAAGACGAGGACGAGGAGGAGGAGGACGAGGAGGAGGACGAGGAAGACGAGGACGAGGAGGAGGAGGACGAGGAGGAGGAGGGGGGAGGAGGAGGAGGACGAGGAGGAGGAGGGGGGAGGAGGGGGGAGGAGGATGAGGAGGGGGGAGGAGGAGGAGGAGGAGGGGGGAGTGGAGGAGGGCGAGGTGCTCGCGTCCCGCCCCCTTTCCCCCGCGGCGCCCAGGAAATCGAGGAGGCGTTCGGCCTGTTCAGCGTGGGGGAGCGGCAGAGCGCCCCCGACACTGGCGCGCCCCCGCCTCCGGGGCCCCCCTTCGGGGGAGGGGGAGGGGGAGGGGCGGAGGGGGGCGAGGAGGGCGATCTGGAGGAGGACGAGGAGGAGGAGGAGGGGGATGAGGAGGGCGAGGAGGAGGAGGGAGGAGGAGGAGGAGGAGGAGGAGGAGGAGGAGGAGGAGGAGGAGGAGGGAGGAGGAGGGAGGAGGAGG